TTTCCCCACATTCTCGCTAGCATATATTGTTATTTATATTTTTTTAAAAGAGAGAGAATTTTAATATTTATTTTTTAGTTTTCAGCAGACACAACATCTTTGTTTCTATGTGGTGCTGAGGATCAAACCCGGGCCGCACACATGCCAGGCAAGCGCGCTACTGCTTGAGCCACATCCCCAGCCCTGTTACTTATATTCTTAATAATTGCCATTCTGACTGGAGTTAAATGGAATCTCAGTGTAGTTTTAATTTGCATTTCTGTAATTGCTAGAGAAGTTGAACATTTTTTCATATATTTTTTGACCATTTGTATTTCTTCTTCTGTGAAGTGCTGTTCAGTTCCTTAGTCCATTTATATTGATTGGGTTATTTAGGGTTTTTTTTTTTTTTTTGGTATTAAGTTTTTTGTATACCTGGAGGTTAATTTCTCTATCTGAGGTGCATGTGGCAAAGATTTTCTTCCATTTCATAGGCTCTCTGTTCATGTTCTTGATTGTTTCCTTTGCTGTTAAGAAGCATTTTAGTTTGATGACATGGAATATTCCTCAGCCATAAAGAATGAAATTATGGTTTTGCCAGTAAATGGATAGAACAGGAAAATCTTATGCTAAATGAAATAAGCCAGTGCAAAAAAAAAAAAAAAAAACATACTTCTGTATGTCAGAAGTCCAGGTCTTCTTAACTGGTTTCTCCACGTGGTCTCAGAGGCCAAAATCAAGATGTTGACTGAGCTCTTATGTGGATCTTGTAAGGGAGAATCTACCTTGAGGTTCATTCAGGTTGTTGATAGAATTTGGTTTTGTGTAGTTATAGAGCTAAGGTCTGTGTTTTCTTGCTGGCTGTCAGCCAGGAGTCCTCAGCTGCAAGAGGCCACCCACATTCCTTGCCCTCCTTCACCATGAAAGCCTGAAATAGTGGGTGAAGTCTTCTCATGATTTAAATCTCTCTGACCTTCTCTTCTATATAATTTCTTCTGGGCTCCCACCTGAGAAAATTATCTGTTTTTAAGGCATTGTGTAGTTAGATTAAGACCAACCAGGATAATCGTGTTATTCTAAAGACCATAACCTTAATCACATCTGCAAAAATCCTTTAGCCTTGTTTGTATTTTCAGGGATTAGGATGCAGCCTCTTTGTGGAATGATGCTGCCTACCACATCATTACCCACCTTTTTTTTTGTGTTTTTTTTTTTTGTCTTTGTATCTTATTTGCTTACAAAACCATGATATTTTTCCTTTAAAGTTTTCCACATGAAGATTTTGCTGATTTCATCCCTCTGATATTGTTGTATTAATATATTACCCTGTTCTGTATATTGTCTGAAAATTGGTGATTAGATCTATATTGTAGAGGTGTAAGCAGATTCTGGTTCTACTTGGGGGTAAGATTACATCATAGGTGCTAATAGTATGTTCTATCAGCAGTTTGGTTGTCACTTTGGAATGTTAGAAATATTAATGATCATTGTCCCTTCTTCCCTTATATCAATAAGGATTGCAAAATGGTGATATTATAATTTTATCATTCCATCTTCATTTGCTTTCCATCAGCTATTTGATTATTCTAAGGTACAGTGCACATAGTAAAGGCCAATTCAATGTTTCTCTATAATTTCCAGTTTTCAAAGTGAGCTGGCTACCAAAAAGTGACCCATAGAATTTTTGTAGTATCATGATTGGCTCATCAATTTGATAATGAAAAACTTAATCTATTTACAGTTATTGTTCTCATTGATGTTCCGATATTCCCATCTTTGTTCAGTGTGAAGCTCACCAGGTTACTCTTTGGGTTTTGGGTTTTGAGTTCTTTGGACAATAACAGCTTCAATAACAGTTGATAACTTCCTTGCTTTCTTGTGTATTTTATACTTCATATCTCAGCTATTTCTCCTCTGAGCTGAACTTAGGGTCTTTAAGGATAAAATAGTATTTAGAATATCCTGGTCTAGATACTGAGGGTTGTCATTGCTGCTGGTTTGTTCTTTATCTCAAGACTTTGTAGTATTCTGAGTCAGGCCATACTTCACCTCCCCTACCTACAATAAAATCATCATGAATTTCTACTGATATCTCCAGTTGAAATTCAGAAGTATGGAGTTTTAACTTAGCCTCTCTTTTTTTAAGTCTTATTCCTCTTTCTTCTTTCTTCCATGCTTAAAAATTAGCGTCTGTTTCCTAGTGGCACTACATTTTTTATTTGCTTTATTTTAGAGTATGCACACTAGCATGCTAGAAGCACACAACACAACCATCAATGGTAATTTCTGAGAATAGTTTAATAATTTTTAACATTTTATTTAACAGTATCTCCTGCAGTTTATTACTCCATTGTCTTGTCTAGAGATAGGATTCTTTTTTAGAACTGCAGAGTGCTCCATTTTGTTTATTGAATTAGTCTCCTGTCAATGGGAAATTAGTTTACTTTCATTTTCTTATTATTTCAAATATTGGTCAATAAATAGATATTTATATATTTTTGCCAATGTATCTCTTTAATAGATTTTTAGACATTATGTTTGTAATCTGTCTAGATCTTGCTAAATTTCCCCTCAATAAGATTGTGACATTTTCATATTTCCTGTTTCCCTGCAGCCTATATAAAATTATATATATATATATATACACACATATATATACATATATAATTTTTGTATTTTAAAACTCTAATCCATTTGAAATTTATTTTTTCTTATGTGATACATGGAACTATCTAATTTTTGGTTTTCACATGTTATCAGGTTAATGTAATTTGACTTACTGAAGAATCCATCTTTTCTTCCCTGGTTTAAAATACTACCTTTCTTATATGTGCTAAATTTCCATATTCAAATAATTCCACTGCTCTATATCTCTCTTCATTTTTTCCTATTATTTCTTACCTGCACTTGGTTACAGTGGAAATTAGGATTATGTAATGCAGTAAAACCTTTTAGACCTAAAATCCATTGTGTAAATAGTTGATTAATTTCTTTTTTTAATTTGTTTTAATTAGTTACACATGACAGTACAATGATCTTGACATATCATACACTTGAATCAGATGGGATATAATTTCTCATTTTTCTGTGATTAACTTTTTTAGTTTAAATGAGGAAAAGAAACTCACTCTTTTACATGTAGCTAAAAGAATGTAAACCTAAGTAGATACTTAAAAATAAATTGTCTAAACTTTTCTTTCTTCAGAGCCTCAACAGGGTTTTGTAGAAAAGCACATTGGTGTAATTAATGTATGGGGTCATGCTCCATAGTCAGAGTCCTGCCCTTCAGTAGCTGCTTTGTTGTGAGCAAGTTCTTCTTTTCTCCAAGTCATTGTTTCCTCCCTTTTAAAAGGGAAATAATACATTCTTTCAGGGTTGTTGTGATCATAGAAATGTCAGCATGCCAGCATAGTGCCTGTGCACAAAGGGCACTCAGTGAGCCTCAGTTCTGTTCTTACTCCAAGGGAATATTCACCCATAACTTTACCTTTAGATTTTCTCCAGCTACTCATGAAAGTAAAGATTTTTACATTGAAAAGCTGACTAAATAAAAGGAGCAGATGAGAAATCAAGGTTCTTTTTTCTCCTATTGCTTGATAGTGGTACTGCCCTCAGGGGATGGCTGCCTTCCTAGGCCATTTTCACCATGAAACAGGAAAGGTGAGTTCATAGTTACCATAGAAATTGAGATGTTGACTTCTGTGTAGCCTATATAAGTCTAGAAGAAGGGAAGAATTCAGAGGGGTACAGGGCTTTTCTCTTCCCAGAATAGTACTGGTTTTAGCTTTTCAGTTCAAAAGGGAATCTAGCTAAAATAATCTACATCCAGACATTTCCAGGAAACTCTCCTCTTCACAATGATTGTGCTCCTCTACCCAGAAGTTTATATGATCTGTCCCTAGGAGGGGAAAGTATAATACAATATGTCTCTGCCTAGAATGAAATGGAGAGCCGAACATTTTTCTGGCAAAGTGTGATAATTTATTTTTCAGGATCCCCATATCTGATTCCTTCATAGAATTGTATTTTGCCTCATTTAGTCTAATAATTTTCAAAATAATTTATTTTAGGTTGTAATAAATTGTGTTTAAAAATATGTGTTTTGAAAACTTTTTAAAATTGAAATTGTTTTCAGAGTTAACTTAACTCCTTCCTTTTTTTATATACTTTGTTAAAAAAATGTTTTGGTAGTTGTAGATGAACAGCATCCCTTTATTTTGTTTATTTTTCTGTGATGCTAAGGATCAAACCCTGTGCCTAAAACATAGTTAGGCAAGAGCTCTGGCATTGAGCTACAGCTACAGCCCCTCACTCCTTCCTTTTAAAGTAAACCCTTTGAAAGTATTTTATGCAGCTTTTCATTCAATGTTAGGGTTGTTATTTTATGAAAACACCCAGAAAGGTGCTACATAAATATGATTCAATCAATTTTTATATAATACTAATCAGATTATATTCATATAGAATTTTAAAAAGTGTTTTAAAATACATTTTATTTAATCTTTGCATTAAAAGTATGCTATGTCAGTATTATTTAGCATAGATTATAGCTGAATAGACAAAGACTTGAAAAGTTTTGTCCAGCACAGGGTCTCATAGCCAACCAGCGCTCTAGACTAGAAGTTTTCATTGCATATTATTAGTGTTCTTGTCACAATACTACCACTGAAATAAATTCATAATCAGCCAGAGTGCTAGTTTAGTAATCCATATATATGCAGTTTTCCACTTTTAAGATTGCTTCACATATCCTTTTGAATGAATCCTATACTTCTTTTGCAGTGCTCCTTTTATAATCTTTCAACCTTGTTTAATTTTCTTAGTTAATATATGAATAGGTAAGTAGTCCTTTGAAATGTTCAAATGATAACTATTTAAACTATTATAGAATAATACTCTGGTTAGTTGAAATCTCTTGAGGATAAGTCACACAGACACATGCACACACAAATTTTAAGGCACAAAAGTTGCACTGTTCATTAAGAAAGAACTTAATGCTAAGGTCTGGTTTTATTTTCCAGGTGGCGTTGCATGCTTGTGGAGTGGCAACAGACATGGTGATTGAGCACTGCATCAAAACACGGGCTTCCTTTGTCACATGCCCTTGCTGTTATGGTTTCATTCAGAACACCTCAAAGTTTAATTTTCCAAAAAGGTGAAATTTAGTATTCTACCTTAGACACCAGTATGCATGCCAGACTTGTTTGATAGGAAGTTGCAGTGAGATTTTACATGCAGTTTATTGACTTTCCACATGGCAAATATTGTTTATAAATTGTACAAGAAAGAAAGGATCTTCTCTGTGTCTATCTCTAATTTTACCCATGGATCCAGCTCTTGCTGAAATTTAGAAGTAAGTCTATCTAGGTGTCAGCTAACTAGAAGTCTGTCAGTATCAGAATTTCTTTGTGTTCTTCTAAATGAAATTAAACATACCACTTGTAAGATGCAGTGAGGTACAGTGGTTAAGTGTTTAGGACCTGGACACCTGGGTGTCGATACTGTCTCCTTGTCATTGTATAAGTTATTTCATCTCAGACAAATTACTCTCTGCCTGCATTTTCTCATGTATGAAATAAAGGTTATACTGGTAACTATCTCAAAGTTCTTGTGAGAATATGATATATGTAGTAATGTAGGACTTTAGAAGTAGCAGAGTGTAAGCACTCAATAAGTGTGAAGTGTTCCTTATAACAGTAGTAGCAGTAATATTTTTAAATAGTAGTGTTGATGATTAAATTTGATATACATTTTTTATAATCCTTCTAATCCCACATAGGAGGAGACATTTTCATTCTTGCAGCTTTAACCCACCATAGGAGAATCACCTTCTTCATGTTTATGACATTTTCACCCTTTAACATAGAATCCACAATAAAGACTATTGCCTGTGTCTTACTACAGTCTTTCTGCCTCCTAACTGGCCTGATATTTCAATACATGGCCTGCATGACATGGCATAACCCTTCTTCCTGGGAAATTGTGAGAAACAAAGGAATTTTTCAATGTTTATTACCTCCTGTATATTTGCTCACTACCTTTGAATAATAATAAATTTCACACAGTAAAACACTGAATCTATTTGCTCCTTTGAGAAGATGGGAAAAAAATGGTCGTACTTCTCTAATAATGTTTCTTCCTATGAAAGAAACTCTTTAAAAATTAATAATATGCTGATAATATGCTTTTATTCTTTTACACAATATTTCAAACTGGCAGTTTTTACTTCAGATAGCATTTTATACTCTTCAGCTACAATATATATTTTTATTTGTAATTTAGTTTATTCAGTGTTCTTAATATTAGAACAGTGATTAATTCCATTTTCTTTTCTATTTCAGTGAACAATTCAAGAAAACTTTATCATACAAGGTAATCTTAATGATCTAGATGTAGATAATATACTTTTTATCCTCTCTTTATAGTTTTCCATCTCAAATTTCTGAGGGAGTATATCATCTTTAGTTATATGCAAATTACTCATGAGCATCTAATATGTATTGTATCTGGATTAACAAACCCAGATGAACTCTTTTAGTAGTTGGAGATTTGTGAAGGGTCTGATATTTTTAACCTACTTTCAAGTTATTCTGCTGTAACATATTGGTTAATATGGTGGATGCTGGTAGAAGATATGAGAATCCTGAATCAGAGACAAAAGAGTTGGTTGTTCATAGCAATAACAGTAAACAGAGTACCATCATTTTTACACTGACTCACTGAGGCCTAGTTCCCATAGGGCATCTGGAAATGGGCCAAAGGATACCTGCCCTTTGTTCTAGAGAGAGAGTGTATTTTTTTCAAGTTTGTTCACTATAAAAAACATACTTGAAAAGATAACCTGGAATAGAGAGAATTTTTTCTATAAAAGGTCAGATAATAAATATTTTAGGTTTTACCAGCCGTAACAAATCTTTCACATATTCTTATACAGGTAAAGCAAACAATAAGAGGATGAATAAGAAAAACTAGGGAGGTAATGGGGTAGGGCACATGCAATGTCACTGGCTGAAAAAGAATAAAATTTCTGAAAAGCAGAGATGTTGCACACAAAAGCAGAAAATCTCTAGCACCCCCAAAGTTGAGTTTATCTCCTCAAACTCCCACACCCCCAAAAATGCTGCTTGGCCACCAGCCCTGGAAGAACTCAGGTATAAATGCTTTATAGAGAAGCCTTCACTTCCTGGATTCTGTGGCAAGCTAATATCTCAATGTTTCTTAGTTTCATTTAGCTTCATAAAAATGGGTGGCTTCGTAGGCACAACTAAATGGACTTATTACCCAAATATTTGGAAGCAAATTGGGAAATGTCTTTCTCCTCAATTAAATTTAGCCAGAAACCTTTACTGAGTACCTGCTTTATGCCGTTATTTCAGAACTTAACTTTGATTAAAAAGAACAAAGATCCAGGCAAGGTGGCCCACGCCTGGAATCCCGCAACTTAGGAAGCTGAGGCATGAAGATCAAAAGTTCAAAGCCAGCCTCAGAAACTTAGCAAGGCCCTAAGCAACTTAGTGAGACCCTGTCTCTACATAAAAAAATAGTTTTTAAAAAAAGGGCTGGGGATGTGGTTCAGTGGTTAAGCACCCCTAAGTTCAATTCCTGCTACCAAATAGAAAGAAGAATAATTTTATTTTTTTATTATTTTTTTTTGAGAGAGAGAGAATTTTTTTAATATTTATTTTTTAGTTCTCGGTGGACACAACATCTTTGTTGGTATGTGGTGCTGAGGATCGAACCCAGGCGGCACGCATGCCAGGCGAGCGCTCTACTGCTTGAGCCACATCCCCAGCCCAAGAAGAATAATTTTAATAAAATATACTAAAACCCATCTGAAGTTGCAATTACCTCAATATTACCTTTATATACAGTGAATCTTAGATTACAAACACCATGGGGATAAAGGATGTGCTTTTTCTTGGCTTTTCCTCAAATCATAGAATTCTCAATTATTCTTCTGTCTCTTTGTTGATGGCAGTTAGTTTGTGGAATCTTAATGTTATTCATTTGACTTACTTTATTAGTTTCCTACCCTTTGCCATTAAATTCATAGTAAGTATTAAAATGTTTTTTAAATACATAAAAGTTGAGACAAAGATATCCCTGTAGAAAGGAAAAAAAAAAAAAACCTGCAACATTGCCAGTCATTTCACTTTTCTTATTTAAAACCAGAGGCTTCAAATGTAATGTACAAATACTAAGAAGAGGGGCTGGGATTGTGGCTCAGCTGTAGAGTGCTTGCCTAGCATGTGTGAGGCCCTGAAGTCAATCCTTAGTGGAAGGAAGGAAGGAAGGAAGGAAGGAAGGAAGGAAGGAAGGAGGGAGGGAGGGAGGGAGGGAGGGAGGGAGGGAGGGAGGGAGGGAACTTCTTAGCCTTTCTTCCAAAAAAAAAAAAAACAAGAAGATAAATGTTGAATATGAATTAAACCTGTTTGTTGAGCTGGAAGATCATTAACATTCTTGGGAACTCAAGGTGTTCTGAATGAACAGCTCATAGGAGCATTATATTTATTTTGAGTTTGCTTAGTCACTCACCTTTGGCTACATGCAGATTTAAAAGCACTGTGCAAACTCATTCACTCTGTCCCTTTAGGGGCTGCCTTCTATTAATTCAGTCATCCCTAAAATTGTTAAGCAGAAAGTAATAACATCAGCTGGCCCATTACGTCAGGTCTTCCTAATGGTTTGTCTTTGAGAGAGAGATCTACTCTGCAGCCTTGTGGAGTGAGAGTAGAGAGAGGGAGCCAGGCTCCTGTCCTCTAAAGTGACTGGGTGAAAGTAAGAGTCAAGAAAAGCCAGGGAGTAGCTAGCATGCTGCTGGCACTCCTAGAGTGCTGCAATTTGAGATCTGCATGACTTCCTTTTCCTCTGGTAGTATGAGAAGCCACAGAGCACGCCTTCTTGGAATCACAATTCAAAAGATTCAAATAAAATTTATAAAGGAAAAGTATAAGTGAATTGTTGGTCTTTTAATTTAATACATTGTAATTACAAAATGTAACTATTTCATATTTTGATTAAAAGCAACTTGACAAAATTGTCTTGAAGATTTTCTGTATATCTCTTCTTAAGAACTACATCTGGGGGCTGGGATTATGGCTCAGTGGTAGAGCCTGGCCTATGTGAGGCACTGAGTTTGATCCTCAGCACCACATAAAAATAAATAAAAATAAAACAAAGGTATTGTGTACATCAACTAAAAAATTTTAAAAAAAAGAACTACAGCTGAAGAGCAGTTTACATGAAAAGAAGAAGTTATCAAGTAACATATTCACAGAGTTGACTTTTTTGAAAGTACCATTTTGTGCAGTACTTTATTTAATTAAACAATTTTGAACTCCAGAAAAAATTAGGTAGTTTTTGTTTGTTTGTTTTTTATAACTTTGAAGCAGAAGATTAAAATAAACTCATATTCTATTGGTTTTTCTTTTAGGAACATATGATTCTTTGCCGATTTGCAGATCAGACAGCTGTCCAGCTTCCACCCCAAAGAAGGCTCATAGGTATGTATTTTAATACAACAGCTGTTGAGTAGGTTATTCACAGTATGCCTAGTAATTAATGGATAGATTCCATATGGGAAAAAATAGTCTATTTATCAATAAGAAACTAAAGTTTGTTCTTCTCAAGAAACTTAATCCATATCAAAAGGGTTTTTTAACAACTAGCATTTTATCCTCTTTGGGTTAACAATACCTTTAAGTAAATTTTCAGTATTTTTACACTGAATTAAATCACTAACAATTATGAACCAACTACAAAATCTATCAAAAGCCACAAAAGAAAATAACAAAAAATGGAAAAGTTAACCATTATGCCAAAATTGACGCATTTTTAAAAATTATGGCCAGGTGCAGAGGTGCATGCGTGTAATCCCAGCTGCTTGGGAGGTGGAGGCAGGAGGATCACGAGTTCCAAGCCAGCCTCAGTAATTTAGCAAGACACTAAGCAACTCAGACCCTGTCTCCAATAAAATACAAAATAAGGCTAAGGATGTGGCTCAGTGGTTGAGTGCCCCTGAGTTCAATCCCTGGTACCCATCCCAAAAAAAAAAAAAAAAAAAAAAAAAAGTTATGAACAAGAATGATAATGTTTTCTTTCCAAAAAAAAGTATGTTTGTATATTATTTATAATAGAACATTTTACTCAACATTTGCAACATTAAATTGTTGCCTAAATTGGAAGACCACAGAAGTGTTTCAAGTTTATTAAATATTTGTTTTATCAAAAGATTTTGCTTTAGAAAAAATCACATTTAGAAAAATAATAGCAACTGCTACTATGAATTTAAACACTGAGTTAAATGCCCTCACTTATTATCTCCATAAATTCTTATGAGATAGGTGCTATTATTTAATTTTAATGAGTGGATGGAGACAAAAGTTTACCTGAGATCTTCACCTATCAGATGATAGAGCCACACTATGAACGCAAATTAGATGATTCCAGACACAAAATTCTTATTTACTTTTGTGATACTGCTTCTCAGCATATTGGAATTACGTCATTGCAAGTTCAGATTGTGAAATTAGGGCTTTACATAAATGGGTCAAATTCAAACTAATCTTAAAAATTATTCAGAGAAGCACCACATTAGGCACTGTCACACTTTCCAAAATTCTAGTACAGAGCCTATTTTTCTTCCATGTTATACTGATAAAAACTGATTGTTATTTCTTTGGTCCAGCACCAAAGTAGTTAGCTTAAATGAAGTAGTTAGCTTGCATGCAAGTACCATGTTGTATAAGAAATAACTACCATTAAACACTAAAATCAGAGTTAGCAGGGCAAGATGTTCACAGTTGGAAAAGCATGAGAGACCTGATATTGAGGGAACAGTGAAATTCCTTCTCTCTCTTACACTCTTAGACATAACATGAAAGGAACTTGCTCTTTTTTCTCCATTCCTCTTCCTTTTCTCATCAACAGTTTGAGTTAGTGAAATATACATTTGATGTAGCACCACTAGACCTATGTCTTAGTCTGTTTTATGCTGCTGTAACGGACTATCACAGAGTAATTTATAATTAACAGAAATTTATTTGGCTTACAATTCTGGGGTTCAGAAAGTTTCAGTGGAGGGGCTGGCATCTGGTAAGGTCCATTTTGCTATGTTATAACATGGTGGCCATCTCGATGAGAGGGAAAAGTGGGGCTGAATGCTCACATGAGAAGGAACCCATAGTTGTGGTAACAACCCCACTCTTACAATAATAACAGCATTGATCCAGTTATTTTGTGCCTATGACCTCATCACCACCTATTGTGTCCCACTTCCCAACACTGTTGGGGGGGGTGTTCAAATCATAGCAATTTAATCAATACATAATGGTAGATGGATATATTTATGGTGGATATGCATTTTAAGGGGAGTAACTGTAAGGGAAGTGTCTATCATTGAAGAGGAAGAGCATTTGATATGATGTGGACAGGAAGGGGAAAAGGAATGGGTTTCTATAAAGCTATAGAGTCCATCAGATGTCTGAATCTGTGCACAGACCATTTCTGTGTTCTCTGAATATTTTTAGGATGTTTACCAAGTCCCAAAATGTAGATGTTGATGACTGAGTTTCAGTTGTAATGGCACTTACACGTGAAAAAGTGAGATTCTTCAGCATAATGAAAAAGAAAAAATTAACTGAACTGGGATCAAAGCCAAGGGTAAATGAGCTGCAGTGTAAACCAAGGGTGGGTACTGAAGGAATGTAGAGCATCCCATTATGACAGAGAATGTTTCATTTAAAATTGAAAAGTTGATGAGGTGAACATTTACAGATATCTTAAAGGAAAGATAGTAAAGAAAAAAAGAAAGTTAGCCATAATAGCTTTTTAATGAAGAAAGGGTGATTTGCCTAAATAAAATTGTGGATATCTCTTCATTATCATCATTTCTAACACAGTTCATTCTTTATGGCATGGGTCCTTCTAAGGAAGTGTGTGACATCAACATTCTAAGTCTGAGTCTCTTGTTCTTAGTTCTTATCTACACCTTCTGTTTTTTTTTTTTATGTGAGAATTCTATCTTCTTTTCTATTTTATTTAACTGTCTTCACTTCTGAAGTCATTTTAGTTTAACAGTTTCACTGTTACTCAGTGGAAATAAATTACTGTAATTAAAATAATGTTTAGGCATTGTTATAATTATTGAGGAAAAATAGAATAAATGAGGTTCCCAAGAAGACGAAGAAGCTTACATATTGAATTTAGAGCAATCAAAAAATGGGAAAGACAACCATGGCTTTGAATATATTCAGCCACAAATCAGTTTTTTTTTTCCCCTGAGCTACTTTTGAAAATTGAAGTTCATGTTTGCCAAAGGAAAACAAATTGACTGTTTTGCTTGCCAGTCAGGTTTCCTCTTTTGTTTTCCAGAGATTACAAAGGAAAAAGAGAATTGATATTTTAATAGGGATGGCAAGGTCTAAAAATTAAGAGTATATTTTACTCAACATTACATATCTACCTTAAATAATTAGTACACGATTGAGAATTTCTTAACATATTTTCCATTTCTTATTTCCTGGAGTCTGAAAAAGGTCCGGGTAGAAAATGTAGCATGTCTATCAAATGGTCCTTTGTCAGCATGTTACTTTAGATATTCTCAAAGACAGATTTTTTTTTTTTACAATATTAGAGAAAATGTAGTTTTATAGGAAAACAATGACAAGATGTTTAAAAGGATTTTAACCAAATTAGAAAACAGAATTTAAAGTTCTATTTGAGGTTTATTTTTAAATATATTAAAAGGCTACTAGTCTTTAAATTAGCAGAGTTAATTTGTGAAATATGATTATTTATACCTACCTTCTCTCCATACTGATTAAGAATTAAATTTTAAAAAAAAACTGAACAGTACTTGGGAGTAAACAGTATTCTTCATAGTACTTGTAGATTTTGTCACTGTGTGGATTTCTTTAGACCAAATGAAATTGTCCTGCTAGAAGAAGGGTATTCTCATGATACCATTTCACTGTATTTCAGGAAAACAGTGCATGTGCCTGGTGGATCTGGACCGAGCAAGAGCTGCAGAAGAACATGGTTATTCTGTTCAAGTGATATCCATGGAGCCAGAGAGCTGCTCTCCCAAAAACAACATGATAGTGGGAGTCCCCACTTAGATTGAGATGTTTACATTTGATATTTTGCCATTGGCTCCATGATGAAAGCCCAGTGGCATTCAGGAGGTTCCATTCAAGAGGTTCTTGGCATAAGTAGGAAACAGCATTAGCCATCCTGAGCCTATTGTGCTCAGGAAGGAAAGCAATAGGAAAATCTTGGAAGAAAGGCTGCCTGCAAAGCATCACAAATACTCTTACAATGTGCGATCAAGGGCTGGTGGTTTTCATAGTGAGAATCCCCTGACGTCTCAGCTGCCAAAAGAATAATACTCACCATTGAAGGTTTCATTACTGGAATAACAATTTCCTTCTCATTTCACAAGCTTTTCTGATCTTGCCAATGTGATATTTAATTCAAAACAATGTACTTGCAGCCTTTATTTTATAATCTTAGATATTTACACACAGAAACTGAGAAACTTTGTGGGGGTTTTGTGGTTTTTTTATATTTTTCAAACAATGGTACTTTTATAATTTTGTAAAAATCTAGGAAGGCAATTACAGTATGGGTATTTTTAAGCTGGGGTCAGTTGAACTTATATACATTTAGGATTATCCTTTTAAATAATTGCCCATAAATTACCAAATGTGATCATTTCTGGTTCAAACATTTTGGGTGAAAAGATTCTAAAGTCATTGCAGTAAGTTTCACCTTGTGGGAATATGGAATTTGGACATAAATTCTAATTAATTGGCAAATACATTGATATCTTAATTCAAGTCTATTCATAATAATTTAGGATCCATTATTTTCACAACTCTGGCCTAGATTTTTCTGAAGATATGAAGATGAATTGCAAGAAATACAATTTTACCTATGCAAGTAAATCAATTAGAAGGAAATATTGAAGAATGAGTGAAGTTCTTCATGTCAGACCATAATATATGGTCTTATTGTTTTGTTTAATTCTTGGTAAAAATTATCAAGCATAAATTCGGAATATGAAGAGTGCAGAATATGGAAGCTTATTTGAATAGTTCTGTCTGCCTAAATTCTTTTTCTTCCAGATAACATTTTTAAAGACAGGTAGTAAATTTCTCTTATATGCTGCTACTATTTATTTAACTTCACATGTCCTAGATTATTCAATTTAAGATTTATTTTATTGTTTTTAATTCCTATATGACATATATCATAAGAGGAAAGAACTTGGATTGTTCATCACTGAGATAAAAATAGGAATAATTTACAATAATATGAATGGGAGAAGGGAGTTTTGTAGCTGATTTCCTCACATAAATTTTAAGGAAAGCACTACTGGCTCTGAGTAATTTAGTCTTTTGTGCCTGTAGCTACAATGCTCCTTTACTGTGGACTTTCTTTTTTAAATCAAGATATCATTTATATAAAATATAATAACAAGTTTTTAAGTGTTCCATTTGAAAAGTTTTAACAACTGTATGTAACCACACAATTGCCACCAAAATAAGATGAAGAATATTTCTGTCAGATGTTGCCAAAAATATGTATTGAGAATATTTTTCTAGTCTGTGGACTATTCACTTTCACAATAAAAGTTTTAATTTTGATGAAGCTGGATTTATCTTTTTTTCTTTTATGATACATATTTTCTTTATATTCTCTAATAAATTTTTATCTACCCTAAGGTCATAAAGATTTCTCCTATTATAAGAACTTTATGATCCCATCTTTTTATATTCTGGTCTATCATCTATCCCAAATCATTTTTCACATAAAGAGGTAGATATATTTTGATGAATAGTTATTTCAGTACCATTTTTAAAATATCCTTTCCTCTCCCCCATTAAAATGACTTGGTACCTCAGTTGAAAATCTGTGTGTGTGTGTGTGTGTGTGTGTGTGTGTGTGTGTGTGTGTATGTGTATGCATATGGATATACGGGTGTGTGTGTGTTTTCTCAATTCTTTTGTTTGTCTTACTAATTTATTGGTTGCAAAAACTTTATAGTATGTCAGAAAAGCAGATAGTTAGTCTTCTAACTTAATTTTTCATTCTCTAGATTGTATTTGCTGTTCTAGATCCATTGTATTTCTATATAAACCCTAGAATTAGCTCATCAATTTATTTTATAATTTTACACAATTAAAAAAGCTTGCTGGAATTGTTGGTATTCTCTCTTTAGATTAATTTGGGGAAATTCAACATCTAAACAGTTGTTGGATCTAATAACCATGAATATATCTTTCAATATATTTAGATTTCTTTTAATTATATTCAGCAATATTTTGTAATTTTCAGTGTAGAAGATTTTTTTAATTCATTATTTAATGGTGTTTAGGCTACTAATTCTGAGCTTTGACATGCTGTTCCCACTACTCAGAATAGTCTCCTTTTATCCCTTCTTCTAGTTTAAACTCATTCGTCTTCTGCTGTGATATTTGACCTCCTGAGGTAAGCCTTTCACAATCTCCCTGGACCAATGAACATGCAATTGCATGTCTACCATGTAGGGCAGTCATCTCCCCATCCCTCTCAAATTATGGAAAATAAAACAAAAAATGCAGGAACCCTATTGTTCTCCCACCGTGCTCTAGGCTTGGCATTCTCCAGCTCTGAGTGCTGTGGCTAGAAATAGATACAGGTGTAGTGATTTCTGTATGTAAGCCCTTGCCAAAACTTCTTCCCAGCCAGGCCAAATAAAAGGGATTGAATGCAGGCAACAGGAAGACTGTTGCAAGTGACCTGATCTCACCCCCATTCTTGTCCATCAAAAGCAAGGCTGCTCCTCTCTGATATGTGTCTTTCAGGGTTGTAATAACATTAGAAACTAGAGATCATCTTTCTTTGTCTTTGAATCTGACTCAGAAAAACAAGGGAATATTATTAATGATTAAACTACTTTATCTTATTTAGGTATTATTGGAATTACTGTCTTAGGTCATTCATAATAGAAATCGAAACATTTGCAGGGCATGAATGCAAAATTATACATAAATAACAGTAATGAAACAGTCTGATTCTAAAGACTTTGTTGCCCATTTTCATGATTCAAGAAAATTATTAACAGAACTTGCACACACTAAAACTTGTTTTTTTATTGACTTTGATAATAAAATTAGAGATATGGTCCTTAGAGATTGTGTACAATATGTCAAAATGCATTCCACTGCAAAATAAATAAACAAACTTAAAAACACAGCATTCATAATAAAGAAAGCAATACATTTTTAAATTAAACTTTTTTAAAAGTAATATGGAATTTTAAATAGAATTTTTAAATTACTCAAATAATGGTTGATGTAGTAGAGCTAGAAGGTGTAGCTAAACAAAAAGAAGAAAAAGAAGAATATTTTAAATTCATTGTCTTAATACTTTATTGTATACTTGTTTCTTTCTTTTTTTTTTCTTTTTTTTTGGTGGTGGTGGTAGGGGTGTTGGTACCAGAGATTGAAGGTTAAACTCAGACCCTTGTGCATGCTAGGCAAGTGCTCTACCACTGAGCTACATCCCCAGCCCCATTATACTTTATTTTGCTTTTTAGAATTTTTTCATTTTTATTTTTTTGTTGTTGATAGACCTTTATTTTATTCATTTATTTATATGCAGTGCTGAGAATCAAAACCAGTGTTTCACACATGCAAGGCAAGTGTTCTACCACTGAGCAACAACCCCAGCCTTATACTTTGTAAAATAAATCTCTATGTATAAAACAAATACTAATACAGTACATGGTATTTCCTAGACACTATCCCAAGCCCTTACAAATAATAATTCAATGTTTTAAGTTATTTAATCCTCATAATGACCTCGTGAGATAGATATTAGCAATCCCATTTTACAGAAAGTAAGGCTACAGTTACACTGTAAAAGCAGACCTGGGTTTGAAACCAGTCAGTAATCAGCAGAACTAATACTCAAATTCGGTCTCTTTTAGCAATCTTTTGAAGCAGGACTGGCTCGTTTGAACAATGATAACAAAATCTCAATGCCTTTACAAAAGAAAGATATTTTTCACTAACATGACATATTCATCCAAATTGCTATGACTGTTCCACACTGTCTTCACACCAAGACCTGGCCTGACGAAGCATTGTCTATAGGAAACATAGCTGGTCTCCTAGGAGGGGGAAAGTATAGCAAATTACCATCAGGTTATTAAAAATTCAGTTCAGATGTGATAAAAATCACTTTCTTTGTTGGCTAAAACCCATTACAGAGCCCCTCCTGAGTTTAATGGTTTATAGCTTTATACAATAATATATTGTGCCATCAGCAGTATAGTTGAAGGGGGAAACAAGGCAGTGAGAAAGAAGGAAGTAAAAACAGACCATATTCCAGTTTAGAGACAGAGATCCTGAATGACACTGATTTGGGATAAAGGATTCTACTGAATCCATCAAAGAGAAGGAGAGCAGGTGCCACCAGCATTTCCTGTTACTGCTCTGGACTTTCACAGCTACCTTTGGAAGAGAATTTTTTTAAAAAGTAATTTATTATTATAAAATATTGGAGAAACATTAAATGCAGTTCGAAATTTATATCCTGCCTGACATTAAAATACTTAATCTAGGGAGATCCAAGATGGTGGGACAGAGGGAGGCAACATTCTATGTTGCTCTGTGACCTGGGACTTGATTAGTGAGAATACTGCTTCTCTGCAAGCATATTCCTGCTCCCACACAGGAATCATGGCAAACATGCCTATCCAGGGTTCTAGGCCCTAGGGTCAGAGTAGGTCTCTCAAATACTCACCCTGGAAGGACTACCAGATACCAAGCAGAACCATCAACACCCACGCAGAACTCTCGGCCACCCACCAGAGCAGAAATCACGGATGCCGCTCCCACACAGGACACCCAGCAGCTTCTCACATGCAGAAATTCTGGCTGCCACTCCTGTGTGAACCCCCATATAACAATGTGGGGCTCCTCTAGTCGCCACCATCTTGGGACTCTGCAGCAGCAGAGATAGTCCCCTATGCACACTAGACTGCCTACACCAGGGAACTTCACACAGGCTCTGAAGTCAGCAGACAGCAACACAATGCATGCCACAGAGCTTGTCTCTGAACTCATCCTCCAACGCCATCACTCAGTTTCCCCCACCTGACACAACACCCCACCACTGAAAGAAGGCGCCTCCATCTTGGGTCACCTTCATCACCATCTTTATTGGGGGCAACTCCCAGTTTGGAAGTCCGACTGGCCAGGTACCCAGTTTCTAACTTCCCCCTCTCCCCAGCAGCTGCTAGACTGGTACAGTGACA